TTCACACACAGAAGAAGGCAATGGCAAACCACTTCTGGATCATCTGCCAAGAACGTATATGAACAGGTCCCAGTCCGAGAAAAGAATGGAAGGATCCTGTTCATATGGACCTGTCGTCAGACAGAATACTAAAAAAAAAATCATCTCCCTGATGACGGTGGCAGTATGACCTCAGAAACGTCGGTTAACATCGACCGGACTACACAGCGCAACGACCCAGAAGACAGAAATCTTCAAGCAGACTCCAATTTACATTCAAGTCACAAACGTTAAAAATGCCCTGCTTTCTTTATGAGCTCAAACAAAAGAAACACGAGGGCCGTACACTGTAAGCTAAGAAGCAGTTGCGCGGAATTAATACCAGAACACAGTACTCACCATACCGTGGCACAAGCTGACCGCCACCATGGAGAGGGGGTCGCCTCGAACCGTTCCCGTGTAGAAGCAGCCGCTGGGGCGAAACCCCGGGTGTTCGCGGATCGTCATGTTGTGCCACACGTGTGTAACCTGGAGGAAGGAAAACGTCACGTAAGAAAAAACACAAACCGAACAAAATAAAGTTTCTATCTCGGTACTGGTTGTTCTCGTTGCTATATGCTTTATGCTTGTGGGCTGAACGTAAAGACGTATACAGAAAGAATGTATAACTTTCTTGATTTCAGCTTCTCGTCAAACGTCGAAGTATCTGAAAACGCATCTTCCTTTATCAAAACGAAAGATCATCCGACAATAAACCAGTAGATTCAGAGTACGACTCAACATTGATGAACTCATATCGTTTAGTGTTACTTTGTGGTCCAGAAGTCTGCAATTAATTTGGCAAGACCGTGAACTACGTTTCGGCAACTGTCGCACTGCCCTGTCAGACTTCACATTCACGCCTCCGACATCGTAAATGAAGTAGCGCTGATCAGTGGCGGTGAAATAGAAATATGAGCACTCGTGCACTTGTAACTGGAAGGGGGGAAGTACCCGAAAAAAGACGGCATCTCACGCCCTCGCCTGATGCTGACAC